TATGCAGTTATTTAAAAATGAGATACGACTATGAGACCAGAAGAAATAGATGGTGCTCGGCTACTACTGTCAACCACTTGGAAGAGGATCTTTGTAGGAGATCCTGGATAGACAAGAGGGAACAATGTGGAACAAAACTCAAAATCATTTGAAACAGAAAAAGAGCAGGGAACAGGTTTGCTGGCCTGAGGGAGCCTAGTGGAACCACTGAGACTATGGCCCCTAGCTGCCCTTCAGGTCTGGAATTGAACACACACCTGTGGCTTCCAGCCAAACAATAAACAGGAATATCAGTTGAGCATTTACCTAAGGTAGATACACTCCTTGGAGAGAATAAGCATGAGAGAAAGAAGGGCTGCTCAGGCACAGGGAGACAGCTCAAGGGGTAGGAGTGCATGGAGAGACACAGGAAAGAGGTAACTATCAGGAGGAAGTGGGAGGGGAGATGTTGCATTGTGCTAAATTGTGGTCAATGTCATGAGACAAAGTGTATGTGAACTGCTGTATGGAAAGTGTATTTGCTCTGTAAATTTTCACCCAAATCACAATAAAAGAAAAAAAAGTGAGATAGATAAGTAGATTTGAAAGGCTATCTAAAATGAGAGCTAGTGGCAAAAATGTGTGTGTATGTGCGTGTTGAGAAGAAAAAAAAAAGGTTCAGTGGCATGTGACCAAGCCATGGTGGTAGAGTGGGTAAGGCATTTGACTGCTAACCAAAAATGTTGATGGTTCCAACCCACCAGCCACCCTGTGGGAGAAAGATGAGGCAATCTGCTTCCATAAAGATTTGCAGCCTTGGAAACCTTATGGGGCAGTTCTGTTCTGTCCTATAATCTCTATGAGTCGGAATTGACCCGATGGTAGTGGGTTTGAGTTTGGGTTTTTTGTTTTGTTTTTTTGGCATGTGACAAATAAATGAATGAATTAATTAAATAACATGATTCAAACAAGATCAAAGCATATTTCTTTCTCATATAAAAAATAAACAGCCTAGCACTGGTTTAGTGGCTCTGTGATTGTCAGAGATTCAGGCTACTTTCATTTTACTTCTCCACATCCCTCCCAGATAGCTACCCAAGCACTAGTTATTACTTGTATATTCCATCCAGGAAGGAAGAAGTGGTGGAGAAGGCTATATAACCTTTCTCTTTGAGAACCATTCTCAGAAAGGTCTTTTTATAGCTCATTGACCGGTACCTAGTCACATTACTACACCCAGCTGCAAGGAAATCTAGGAATGGAATCCTTATTCTGGGCAGCCATATGTCTGGCTAAAATCCAGGGTTTATACATTTTGTTTTTCTCTAGAAGCTACAGAGAAGAAAGTTCATCCTTCAGTAGGACAAGTAGGTGATTTCCCTCAGAGTAGACCAAAACTTAAGAATAATCTTGGCTACGCTTTCTGAATCTATTCTCCACATTGCAGTCAGAGTCAGCTTCCTAAAATGTATATCTGAGTATGTCACATCCCTGCTTAAAGCCTTTAATACTTTCCAATCCCTTGTAGATAAAATCAAAATTCCTTAGAATGACTTCAATTTTCTTCCTATCTGAACTTCTCTGTCCACTCTCACTAGTAACACTCTAGTCTCAAAGACTACTGACCTACTTGTAGCTTCCAGCACATTCTTTCTCATCTTAAGATTTTTTTTACATATATTGTTCCCTCTGTATAAAATAATCTCCTACCCTCTTTGCAGTTTCACTCTACTCATGCTTCAGGCCTCAGCTTAGACTTCATTGTGTCCCAAAAAGCCTTTTAGGAGCCCACAAAAAAATGTTTAATTTCTTTTAAAATCCAAAGAGAAAAATGAATTTTCAGGTCCAAGAAAATGAATTAATATGTAATATTAATATATTGGGAGCTTTGGTAGCATAGTGCCTAAGGCATTTGACTGTAACCAGAAGGCTGGCAGTTCAAACCTACCAGCCACTCCTCGCAAGGAAGGTTGGGCAATCTACTTCTATAGTGATACTGCCTCGGAAACCCAAGGAAGAGTTGCTATGAGTCGGATCCGACTCGATGGCAGTGAGTTTGGTTTTAGATTTTTTTAATTAATATATTTGTCTTTATGTCAATAAATTTGTATAATATAATATAATTCCTTTTAAATGGAGGAAGAAGCCCACAGAGGCAAAAGTACCTAGGGCCTGTGAAACTTATAATATGGCTCTGCTGTCATGGACTCCAATATCCAATAGTTCCCTGACCTCACTGCAGTCATAGCACTTCCCACAGCACATTGTAACTGCTGGATACTTGATGGTATCCAGTGGGGGCACTGGACAGGAACTCTGAGAGGGCAGGGCCTATTTTGTTCCTCTTTCTATCCCCAGTGCCTAGAATACAGCCTAGTCCATGGTAGATGCTCCACACATATTTGTGGAGTGAATGAATGAATGAATGAATGACCTGATCTTAGCTAACTACAGTGTTACATGATATGGTCATCTCATTTCCAATAAAGACGAAGAGTGCAAGTTCTACCTGGCTACATCTATTGCTCACACTGCGTGCTGTCTTGGTATTAGGTATGTGTTGTGACTTTGGGCAACTCACTTAATCTCTCTAAATATCTAAATCTTAATCTCTCTAAATCTCAGAATTGCCATCTGTAAAACGGGAGTAATAATAGTATCTACCTCATTAGGTTCTTGTGAGAAGTAAATGAAAGAAGACACTGTACCTATGAAGGACTTAAAACACTTCTTATTGTATAGCAAGCACTCAATAATCATTATCTATTGTTGTTGTTGTTATGGCCAATTAGCATCCTACCTCTCCCAGAGGTATTCTCATTTAAGAGTTGAGTGTTGGAGAAGAAAGAATTACTCACTACTCCCAGTCAATGACTATCTGTAATGGTAGAATTTCAAGCTGTATAGGTCAAGACACTCAGAAGCAAAGAGATCATCTTCTGTGGTCTCCACCTGGATAGCTTATGGGAATAGGGGCAGGAAAGGACCTATTTCAGTAGAAAAGCTGTGGGTATTAATGTCAAATCCTAGATCCAACCCCTCCAACTCTTCCCTAACACTCTGCAAACATCTGATTCCTCATTTGCAAAATGAGGCTCATAATAGCACCTACCCCGTAGGGTGCCTGAGAGGATTAAATAGGGAACTGTACATGAAATACCCAGCCCACTGCTTGGCATGTGGTGGGTTAGTCCCCTCTCCTCCCATCTGTAAACACTCCCACAGGATGGAGCACAAATGAATTGGAAACTCAGACTTCTTAGAACTGCAAAAATGGAATAATCTTTAACTTTCTCTGCCTGAACCGAGCTCCTGTGCCCTGACTCCCCTTGAGGGTGGAAAACATCAGCTAAACACTATTAGGCAACCCCAGTCACATCTTATTTTGCCTAGTCATTTCTGAATTCCCACCAGCCCCTTCCCCACCTCCCTGGGGAGTCTAGAGGCTCACCAATTGCCCACACCATGGTAGTTTGACAAACATCCACATTAGCCTCTGCCAGTCTGTTCTGATCCTCATGTGGGGGACAAGAGCATATTCTGCCCAAGTCATGGTCCAGCTGTGGCCCTTTTGTAGTGTGACCAACCATCTCAGTTTCCTAATTTTCACACTGAAATCTCTGTGTCCTTGGAAAAACTTCAGTCCCAGGCAAACTGAGATGGCTGGTCATCCTACCCTGTTGGCCTGTTCATGCCCTCTCCAACCTCCAAGCTTCAACATCAAGGTTCTCAGAGGTCTTCCCACTCTCCTGGGCCTCTGCTAGGAGAACCCAAGGCTCCAGACTACTGTTCCCACTTCGTGCTAGAGTTCACAGGGCTCTGGAGACTGCCCTTAGCTGACTTACTCCATCAGTTCATTCAGCCTGGTTCCACTAGACTTACATCTTGCAAATCATAGTCTGCAGATACACTTTATGTCATGA